AGAGTGCTTAGATTACAGTGTGTTGGTGCCGCACGAGCACCTGGGCTAGAGAGTAAAAACTTAACTTACTGAAAAGCTGATAGTGACTGCAATATATGTTCCTGTTACATAACAATGATAAATTGTTCCTGTCGCAAAGCAATTGCAAATGATTTTGGGTGGTAGAAAAGTATGCGGCCTCTAGGTACAGTAAAATTCATTCTTAGTATCAGTTTGGAACATTCCTACTTGATTTAAGAGAATGAGATTAATCGAGTAGGGCATGAATGGAGTTTGGTAAAAACTCTTTGGCACGATGTCACCTTGTAGTATTTGCATGAGGGCCATAATTTTACCTTGTTTCAAAACGACGGGGGTTGAAGCGAGGTTTAGAGGATTCCTCACCCACCATCCCAACTGGATTCAGTCTTGACAGGAAGCCCAGTGTAGCCAGGCGTGTGAGCGTTGACAGAGCGAGGGCGGCACATGGGCTGATGGAGCCAGGGCATGTTATTCTGGCCCCAGACTGACTACCAAGTGGCAATAGTACTACTACAGTGGTGCTGAGCTCGCGCTCTGGTTGTCTTAGGTGTCTTTTCATCGCTCTCTAGTTTTTGACTTAACGTAAATTTGGTTCAACAACAACTGCATCATTATTCTGACAAATTTCATAGTTGAACAGGTAATTGTTTTGCATAGTGCATTGACTAGTACTTCGTATGTGATCTGGATTTAAAACGTTGCTAGTAAAAGTGGAGGCTAATTGCGAATGGATGCCGAAATGATTGTAGTTCTATTATCGTTTCCTATATGTATTATGCAGAGACAGCAGAGATTGATACCTGCTGTGAGTCAGAAATAATAAATGGCTCGATGTTTGTACCACTTGTAAGAGAGGTGCGATGGCTGGCCATCTGCTCCACGCCCTATGATCTTTTCAACCTCTGGCAGTTGGCAGCATTGGCTTCAAGTCAAGTTCAAACCCAGCAAGAGCGAACCCCTTTCACTATAAATTAAAAGAAAGAAATTAACTGGCCAACTAAATAATATAAACAAAATTAGCTGGGCAATGGTGCACATGCCTGTAGTCCCAGTACCTCGGGAGGCTGATGGCAGTAGGATTGCGTGAGCCCAGGGAAGCTGACGCACTCACTCTACCCTGGGCAACGAAAGGTGAGACTCTGTCTCAACAACAAAAGAAGAGGAAAAGGAGAGGAAGGGCAACAGTGAATGGCTGTAAAAAATTGTGTTCTCTGTAGTTATATGCGCTTTGTTAGTCTTCTAAAATGCTTGAATATTACAGTTCTCAATTACTCATCTCCTTGTAGAAAGATGACAGGGATGCACACACAGAGAGGGTCTGTGCGCTGTAATAACTTCTGCTGAAAACGCAAAACCAGTACAGCAAGCGGGCAGAAGAAAACCTTGCAATGCTCCACCTGCAGTACTTCAGACTTCACTAGAGAGAGTTGCTCCCCGAGATAACATGTGCGCATGCGTCCCCTTCCGCCCCGCCCCTTCCCTTATTCTGACTCCTTCTTTCCACCGCTTCAGTTTCCTCGGGCTGGCGGCCCACCCTCTTCCGGAGGCATACGTCATCGTTCTCGCTTCCAGGTAACTAAGGCAATGAGAGGGACTTTCCGCTGAGACAAGAGGCGTCATATTATACCAGGGCTAACCCTTGAGGAGTGTTGGCTGCTTTTTAGGGGAACAGTCCAGCAGGCGCTGGGGTTTTCTGAAGCAGAAACGTTTAGGCGTGAACTTGTGGAAACGTGCGTGCTGCGGAACTGTGGTTTTGAAGTGCGAAGCACAACTGTCTTGCCCTCTTCCAAGATGGTGGCGTGGCTTCTCTGAATGTCTCCCTTCCGCTTGTCCGCTCTTTGATTGGCCAGTAGACGGCGTCGTGGCCTGACGGGTGGGTCGCTGACCAATCGGCTGAGAGCTGAGCTGGACTTGCCTGTGGGAGTCGGAGCGCGGCTCTTTGGGTTGTGAGTGCTGACGGTTCTGGCCAGGTGAGCAATTCCGGCCAGGTAAGCCGGGAACAGAGGTGACGGAGGGTGGACGCCAGGGCGTGAGTTTCTGCTGGGGACGCGGTGGGCTGCCCCTGGGATGAGGCTTCTTCCCGGCAGGCAGGGGAACCGGAGAGAATCGCTCACCCAGGAGTTTGCTGAGAGTTACGCGTCCAGCGCCAGGCCGAGTGGCTAGACTAGAGGATCGGTTTCTGGCTCCGGGTCCTTCAGTATCTCAGGTGCACACAGCTAGAAAAACCCAACTCCCTATTTGTAGTTGAGAAACTTAAGTCTCAGGTGAAATGACTTTTGCTTCATGACAGAGCTGGAACTAGAAGCCAGGTTTTCAGACACTCGTCAAGAATTAAACCTTACTTAATTTTGTCTAACAGATGGTTACTATGTCTTGAACAGTTATGACTTGTTGAGATAAGGGTGGTTCAGCTTTTTTGGCGGATACTCCTAAAGTATCTTTCCAGGTCTTTAATTCATTCACTAATTCATTCATTCAGCTATTAACCTCTTCAGATACCCTTCCACTTTGATAATTTGGTGTAAGCCGTGGACTCATCTCCCTAGGAAAATACACATTCGCTGATGCATACAGTTGTGCACACAAGAGGATTCGTGGACCCTCTGTAGTCCCCTGTGAATTATGTGCTGGGGGCTAAGAATCCATGCCATAGAGGGGTGAGAGAAAGAGGCAGTGAGAAACGGAGGGAGCAGGTTTTATATGTAAATGCTTGGGAACATTAGATGGAGTCAGTACCTTTTAATATAGAACTGTTTTTAGAGGGGAGTGGTTAAAGAAATCTGCTGAGGTACTTGTTGAGAATTATAATATTAGAACTTGCTTTCATTCCCACCTGAGTTATTTGTTTGCCCTCCCTCCCCCACTCCAAGCTGCAGAAGTACCTCCTGTGTGCACAGTGGTTCAGGTTTCTGCTTTTGTCAGAAAGAACAAATAAGATGTCTTAGAGTTTGACTTGGAGTAAACATTTGGACTTTTGATGGTCTGGGTTCAGCAGAGGAGAGTAATCTGTTAGCTTTTCTAGCCATTTCATATTATTGCCTTAATCCAAATTATTTACCATATGGCACTTCTCAAAATAACATGGAAACAATTATTATCCACCATTGGATAGTGAACACTAGAGGCCACTTTAATATAATAGATGCTTTAATTTGCCTTTTTCTGCTTGTCTTAAGGGGCTTGTTCCCTTGAACCCCAATAGCTGAGGTGTGTGTTACCCTAGATTTTAGGATGTGAACAGCATGTATAAAACACTGAAGTTGGGATGATCTGGGTTTGAGAGCTTAGTCTTGAGGACTGTCTTATTGACCAGAGTCTTTCAAGCCATGAGCCTAAGCAGCCATGGTGAGGAAAGAGGTTCTAGTGAGATTCATTATAATAGCAAACTTTCCTTTGTAATTTTCATAATACTAAGTAGAAATACTTTAGCTCAGAAGTGGTTCTTTATGAACTGGACTTGTATATTAGTATCCAGTTCTTTTCTCCAAAGTTTAAGAAAGTGAGGAGGGGAGTGGGGACAAGAAAAAGATCACTTGAAAGCTAAAATTTAGTGTAGTACCTTAAGAGAGCAAAGAAGGAAGGGGATCAGAAAGGTAGCTGAAATAGGGTTTGAGACTGAAATAGGGTTTGAGACTAACCCTTGGGCATGGGGTTGAAATTGGCTTGGCTGAGGTGATGTGTGATCTGCGAGAAAGTTTAAAATAGAGGAATTCAACTACATGCAGCTTAGATATGATGAAATGATGGTAAACCTCCCACCTCTCTTATTTATTTTTAAGTGCTAGAGAAGAGGGTTGAGAAAAGATCAGTAGTCAAAGATAACTGTGAAGCGTATTGACTTTTGGGCATGAGAAGAAGGGGAAATACTGTCATTCCACAGCAACAGGTTCTTCCAGACTAAGTGTTTAAGAAACAGTGTTGGGTGACCATCTTGTTTTTTGAAGTTTAGTTGAGAATGTCACATACAATTAAAAGTTTTATCTTCAGTTCCCTTTTAGACTATGGCGACATATCTGGAGTTTATTCAGCAGAATGAAGAACGGGATGGTGTCCGTTTTAGTTGGAATGTGTGGCCTTCCAGCCGTCTGGAAGCTACAAGAATGGTTGTTCCCCTGGCTTGTCTCCTTACTCCTTTAAAAGAACGTCCAGACCTACCTCCTGTACAGTATGAACCTGTGCTTTGCAGCAGACCAACTTGCAAAGCTGTTCTCAATCCACTTTGGTATGAATTCTTTTAAAAACTGGTAAAAATGATGAATACAGTGAATTATTACTTTTATGTAATTCTCATAAAAGTCATTCAATTTGAACAAGTCACCAAATTTGAGATGAGCAATAGATGGTGAGATTCTTAGGTGGTGCATGCTTGTAGAAATCTCCCTGGTCTAATACTCCAGATAAAATTGGAATCTTATGGGAATGAGGTAGAGGTAAAAGGAGAGGATTTGGAGTTCATTTTTTTTGTTTGTAGTCAGTTTGCTTTTGGCTTAACTGTTGACTTTATTGGTGCCTTTTAAAGTATTTTCCAAAAAAAATTCAAAAGCCTTAGATCATTTTCTGATACTTACCTGGTATGCGAGAAATAGTAGGTAGAAGAAATTTTAACTCTTAATGATTTTATTAGGTGTAATCTTTTTGTACCTGAGATAGTGACCTATGATATTTCTTTTAAATGTGGGCACTATTTGAATGAATTTTTAAATAGATGGAGAGTATCATAAAATTTTTACATGAGGGAACATTTTTTTACTTCATTTCCCTTTGCCTTTATATAATGTACCCATATATGAGAGTGTTTCTCTGCTTTTAAAATGATAGCCACTTGTTACTAGTTTTCTAAATGGGGGGGAAGGGATGAAGCATTATCTTGAACTAATTCTAGGAAGTCTATCAACCCAGAATTGTTCCTGCCCAACTTCTCTTCAATTGGGCTAAGTGAAGTTGAAGTCCAGGAAGGTTTTCCTGTGTGTGAAATATGCTTTTAGTGTTGAAATTTAGTAGTTTCACATACCTGAACAATAAAGATGTTAGAAAAATTCATGAAGACTGTTCGGTACAGTAACAAGCAAAAGGAAATAACCTATAATTTATATAAATTATGAAATTTAAAAAATTATCTTGGAGATTGGGAAAAAGAAAAAAGAAAAAAAGGATTTACCGATTCTTTACTTCAGCTGTTTGCAGGAAACTTTTGGTGTACTTAAGAGCCAGAATTCTAAGTATAGTGAACATTTTACATACTTTTATATAACTGTACACACACATAGAAACACTTATCTGTGTGATTTACTGAACTTGAAATTTGGATGTGAATGCTTTCTACTGTAAAAATAAAAATGCTACCTAGTTGTAATATTTATCTTTCTCACAGTCAGGTTGATTATCGAGCAAAACTTTGGGCCTGTAATTTCTGTTTCCAAAGAAATCAGGTATGTGAATTATTTTTAAAAGTATGTGTTTCATTTTAATTGTACTACACTAAAAAAATTAAGTGAGGTTGAATTTGTGTCTACACTGGCAGTCAGCAATTTCTGCTGAACTCAAGGTGATAGCTTTTGTTAAGCATAGTAATTGAACATTGAACATTTGTGATTTTTCTGTCAAACAGTTTCATTATTTGGATCCTTGTCATTTACTGTGGAGGGGACATAGAGTTTCTTTTTCTTATAATTTTTCTGTGGACAGTCTGTTACCCTAAGAAAACAGATCTGTTCATATTTAACTTTAGTATTCTAATTGATTGTGCATATTACCGAATTTTAATTTTCTGATCTTTCTAACTTAAGAGCCAAGTATGAGTGTTAAGCTTCTTTTTATTTTATTTATTTAATTTTTTTAGAGGAGCCAGCTCTAAATTGAGCTTCTTTTGATTTAAAAATTTTAAAGTACCAAACTAGGCCAGGCGTGGTGGCTCACGCCTGTAATCCTAGCACTCTGGGAGACTAAGGGACCAAGGTGGGTGGAATGTTTGAACTCAGGAGTTCGAGACCAGTCTGAGCAAGAGCGAGACCCTGTCAGTACTAAAGAAAGAAATTAGCTGGACAACTAAAAATATATATAAAAAATTAGCTGGGCATGGTAGCACATGCCTGTAGTCCCAACTACTTGGGAGGCTGAGGCTGAAGGATCCCTTGAGCCCAGGAGTTAGAGGTTGCTGTGAGATAGGCTGATGCCATGGCACTCTAGCCTTGGCAACAAAGTGAGACTCTGTCTCAAAAAAAGAAAAAAAAGTACAAAACTAGAAGAAGCTCACGAATGACAAGAAAGACTTCTCTTTAAAAGTAATTGTGCCCATGATAGGAATGTTCTAAAACTGGATTGGGGTGACTATTGCACACCTCTGCACACTTATCTAAAAATTATTGAGTTGTACACTTAAAATGGGTAAATTTTATGGTATGTAAACTATATTCAATAAAACTATTAGGAAAAAATTAGTTGTGCCCAACATAGTATACACTAGTATAATAGATCTTAAGCTGTTAATAACATGCATTTTATATGTTCATATGTTTGATCATAATTACAGTTAATCTCATACTTAGATATGGCACATAATGAATGAGTCCAGTGGCAAAGAGAACAATGTACAGTTGGTGACTGGCCTAGGTTCAAAAACTGTAAGCAGATTCCATTTAAGATTTACCTCCATGAGAGATTCATAAGTATATATAAGTCTTTAAAACATTTCTCTGTCCTATTACATTCAGAATTGATGTCTATGTTTAATATAATTTATCATGAAAATTCTAAGGCATGGTAGCGTGGTAGTTAAGAGTCAGGACTCTGTAGTTAGGCCACCTGGGTTTGACTCTCAGATCTACCACTTACTTCCTGTGTAACTTTGGCACAAGTCATTTAACAACTCCTGTGCCTCAGTGTCCTTGTCTTTAAAATTAGGATAATAGTACTATACCTACTTCATAGGATTGTTCTGTGAATTAAACTGATATTTAATGAGTGTAAAGGATTTAGAACAGAATTTTACACATAGTAAATGCCATATAAGTATTTTTTGTTATTATGTTTACTTAAGATTTCTACCTGCCAGTTGATAAATATGATCTGAAAATCTGTCATGGGCAGAAATAATGTTTTGTAACTCTCCCAGGTGGACGATGGAGAAAAGAGCCCCTAAATGAGTGTAGCTAGAAGACAAGGGATGGCCCCTGGAGGAATCTGGGTGATTTTGACCTCTTTCCTCCCTTCTGTGCACCCGAGTAGCTGGGGGTTGGTGAACAGGGTCTCTCTAGGTTGCCAGTGTGTCTGGGTGTCTGGGCTCACCTGTCTTGTGTTCTCCATGCTTTTTTGTAGTCATAAAGTTTTACTCTGCTGGGAGCTGCAGCCAGTGGGCAGTCATGGCCAGGATAGGGCTAGAGGTTTTTGGTGACTCCTGCTGGGGTTCTGATGTCCTGTAATATCTGCCTCCTGGGCAGTGACCCATTATAGCTGCCTGTCAGCTCTTAAACTTGACTTGAATTTGATCACTCCAAGGTCATTGGCCTGGGGTGATCTTCTGCTGGGGAGATACACCTCAACTTTTGTTTTTATTATAGAACTAAAGACTTAGGATTAAAAACAAGCCCACATGCTATGAGTTTAAATTGTTTGCACAGAGTTTTAAAAACAGAAGAGAATGCCTATGCCATTAATGTTAAGTGCAAAGAGCTATCCCAAAGTTGTATGTACAGGATGATCTGAATAGTGCTTAAGTAGAAAAAATCTGGAAGGAAATATTCCAAGATCTTGAGCTGCCTCTAGATGATAGGATTTGGATTTTTTTTTCCGCACTCCTGTTTTCTATTTTCTTGAATTTGCCTATTTTTCTATACTGAACATTTATTACTTTATTGATAAGAGCCAAAATAACCCAAATAAGGCTTTTGCCTTCCACATGATGATGAGACAAGTGAAATTTATCCTTTAATTTGCAGGGCAAAGTTTAAGAAATGATTTTTAATAGTGTGTTTTTAAACATTTAGAAATTTCAACAATAACCTAAAACTGCTCTAAATAATAAAGTCTATTTTTTTAAAATTATAAAATGATATAAATGTAAGTTGGGGTTAGAAGTTGTTTTTTTTTTTTTAAGGGGGGGGTTAGAAGTTTTAAATGCTGATTTTTGTGTTTCAGTAATGTGTTCTTGTATTTTGTGCTTTCAGAATTAATATGTGATCATTATCATTTTTATAAATGGAAAATAAAAAGTGTAACATAAATATCTGTCAGCCCCAATAGAACATTACTTTGTTTTCTTTTTTTCAGTTTCCTCCAGCTTATGCAGGCATATCTGAGGTGAATCAGCCTGCCGAACTGATGCCCCAGTTTTCTACAATTGAGTACATGATACAGGTACCTTGTTTGTTGTGCATTTAATAAGTAATGTTAAATATTGAGTTTCTCATGAAATCTTTTGTCTTCTGTGTCTCTTACCTGGCTGGGGAAGTTAAAGCCATAAGGGCAGCAGGATCCTAACCATTAGGTTTTGGTGTGTGTGTATCTACTGGCATTGTTTTTATTTATTTATTGAGGTTTGGACGAATTTATTGAGTGTTAGCAGAGAAAAATTATTCTGTGGTTTGTTACATTTTCCCACTACCTTGAATGTGTAATTTAAAATCATAAATATATATTTCATAACTAAGCCTTTGGCCAATAAAAGGAATCATTTAGCACATTTATTAAAGATCAGTAAGAAATATATTTCGAACATCAAAAAGATCAAGTCACTGAATTAAACAGCAGCAATCTCCACTAATCTAGATTCCTATAGTGCTGAAAGTAGAGGTTTCTGTGCAGAGCTAGTCTTTTTTTTTTTTTTTTTTTTTAGACAGAATCTCACTTGTGTCCAGGCTAAGTGCTGTGCATCAGCCTAGCTCATAGCAACTCAAACTCCTGGCTCAAGCGATCCTCCTGCCTCAGCCTCCTGAGTAGCTGGGACTACAGGCATGCACCACCATGCTGGCTAATTTTTTCTCTATTATATATTAGTTGGCATTAATTCTTTCTATTTATAGTAGACGGGGGTCTCGCTCTTGCTCAGGCTGGTTTGAACTCCTGTCCTTGAACAATCTGCTGCCTCAGCCTCCCAGAGGGCTAGATGATAGGCATGAACCACCGTGCCCAGCCCAGACTAGTCATTTATTACAGCAATCAGAAAGATGGAGGCTGGCACCCTTTTGGAGGTGGTGGCAGAGCTGGCAGGACGAGGAGCTGGCCTGGTCAGGTGAGCATGTCCCAGAGACAGCAGCAACACAGAGTAGTCCAGCAGGCTGTAAGGCAGGTGAATGGTCCAGGTTGTCCCTTCTTGGTCTTACACCACATACACTATGGTTTTAGGGCTCCTGAGGTCCACCCTGCCAGCCATACTGTGGGTATCCTTGGTAGGGTACCCCAGAGGAGGTGGTAGGGCCCCCATAGTCCTGGACCCATTGGTTGTTGTGGATAAGGTGGTATGGGCTGTTGGACCAGGCCAGGATATGGTGGAGGGTTCTCTTGGTTTATCAGGGACCTGCCAAATGCACCTCTCCTCTCCACGAACTGCCTGGATATGGTGGGGCCAGGAATTTTGGCATTGTGTTTAGATCTCGATAGAAGGCTTATAAAGAAATGGAACTGATTAAATTCAAATTTGTCTTCAACAGCTTCTCCCTCTCACTTGATGGTACTCCATTTCTAGTTGTTCAGCTTAAAACCTTAGATTCATCCTTGACATCTCTCTTCACGTTCCATATCTAATCACAGAAAAGCCACTGGGTCTGTATTCAGAATTTATCCAGAATCACCCACTTCTCTCTCCTTGCTGCTAACTGTCCTGGGCCAGCCACCGCCTCTATTTGAATTACTTCTCCCAACTGTTCTCCCTGATTTTACCATTGCTTACTTATATTTTATTCTTAACCCAGCAGCCAAAGTAGTAACTGTTTAAAAACATACATTGTATTACTTTCTGTTCAGAAACCCCATTGTGAAAATGGTTCCTTTCACCCAGGGTAAAAGACTTTCAAAGCCCTGTGTGTTTCTTCTTGGACTCAGTTTCTCCTAGTGTTCTCATTCAGCCTAGTGGCCCTTGACTCTCCTCACCAAGCCAGGAACACTGCCCTAAAAACTTTTGCTCTAGCTTCTTTGTCAGGCTGGAATTCTCTTTCCTTATCCTGTATTGCTCCTTCCCTCTCCACCAGGTTTTTGCTCAGATGTTATTTTCTTAATGAGGCTACCCTGGCCTCTTTATTTAACACTTGAACCTGCCCTTGCCTCTACTCTTCATGCTCATCTCCCCTTAACATCCTCATTCTAGAAAATGGTTCCTTGAGGCAGGCAGGGTCTTGGTTCTTTCTGTTCATTGTGTATCCCAGGACCTGAAACAATGTCTGGCACATGGTAGGTATCTAAATAGTTGAATAAATTGTTGGATACAAATAGTTTTTATGTTTAATTTGTTTAAATAGACTTAAGTCACTTAATGTGGTAAGTAGAGCTTTGTATAGTGTTCTTATCCTCTGAGAATAAATATAGATCAAGACTTGTGATTTTTGTACCCAATTGCTTTTTTTTTTTTTTTTTGAGACAGAGTCTTTTGTTGCCCTGGCTAGAGTGTTGTGGCATCAGCTTAGCTCATAGCAACCTCAAATCCGGGCGCAAGCCATCTTCTACCTCAGCCTCCCAAGTAACTGGGACTACAAGCATGTGCCACCATTCCCGGCTAATTTTTATGTATATATATTTTTAGTTAGCCAATTAATTTCTTTCTATTTATAGTAGAGACAGGTCTTGCTCTTGCTCAGGCTGGTCTCGAACTCCTGACCTTGAGCAATCCACCCGCCTCAGCATCCCAGAATGCTAGGATTACAGGCGTGAGCCACCGCACCTGGCCCCCAATTGCTTTAAAAGGACCAGTAGTCTATTTGTATACTGATTATTATGCTATTTTTCTTTGCCTAAAGCGAGTGCTCAGTCCCTCTGATATTTCTCTATGTGGTCGACACATGCCTGGAGGAGGATGACCTTCAAGCGCTCAAAAGTCCCTGCAGATGTCCCTGAGTCCCTTCCTCCAGATGCTCTGGTGGGTCTTATCACATTTGGGAGGAGTGTGCAGGTTCATGAACTAAGCTGCGAAGGAATCTCCAAAAGTTATGTCTTCCGAGGGACCAAGGATTTAACTGCAAAGCAAATACAGGTTTGTACCTTGCTTGTACAGGAGGGAGCAAGAACTTCTTAAAAAATAATAATCATTCACTTTTAGTATCATGGGAATGAGTCTTTTGGTTTTTTTTTTAAGGATATGTTGGGCCTGAGCAAGCCAGCCATCCCATGCAACAAGCCAGACCTCCTCAACCACAGGAGCACCCTTTTGTTTCCAGCAGGTGAGAACCTGATATGTAGTGGTTATGCAGAACAACCCATAGGAGTAAGGAAGAAAAGTATTATAACTTTTAAAAATTATTATTAGAGGTAAAAAATAAATGATTAAACTAACCAATACTTAATGTTTTATCAAAAAATTTTGAACCATTATACTCAATAATTCCCTCCTCTGGACACATGGCTGTTTTGTCCTTTTTGATCTTTAAGTAAAACTGGAAGAACCAAAAAGGCTTCTTTTGGGTGCCCTCAAAACACTATTAGCAGGTACTCACTTCACTCATCCCATTGAGTGCCTGGGGTGCCCCAGCCAAGTTAACAGCCAGTAACTCAATAAAATGCATTGCCTGACATGCTAGGGACAACCTCTTACTCTGGTAAGAAACCAGAGTGTTCTTTCTGTATTCTTAAGGCTCAAGAAAATATACAAACTAACCATTAGAATAATGAACATCATCTACATAAGGGACCTTGCTTGGACGAATTCACGTTAGGCATGTCCTTAGGATTTCATTGCTGCTTAAAATTTAATTAAACTGATTTGATTTGCTCTTTTCAAGTTGAATTTTTTTATGCTGCATTTGTAAATTGCTAAGTATTAGGCTTTAAATTATGTTTGTCGATAAAATTGCTTTAAATTGTTTTGTGTTTGTAGTTTGAAATAGCTTTGAAGAAAAAAATTGCAAGTTTTTTCTACTCTCAGTAATTACTTTAAAGAGCAGTAACTATATGTCACCTAGGATTGAATACCAGAGTACTTTATTAAACCAGGATTGATGTGCCTGTTAAATATCATGCAGATTTCTGCAGCCCATTCACAAGATTGATATGAACCTCACTGATCTTCTTGGGAGCTGCAGAGGACCATGCCAGTAACTCAGGGAAGAGACCTTTGCGATCCACTGGTGTTGCTTTTCCATTGCTGTTGGCTTGTTGGAGGTAATTCCGAATTTACCAGGGCCTCTCGAATCATGCAGACTTGCTCTCAGAAAATATATTTGTTGACTTTGTTTGAAAATCATTTGTGACCTAAGTCAAGTATCTGTGAAAAACATAAGAGAATTAGAGCAATGGGAAGTGCTCACAGCCAATTAATAAAAGTGTACAAACCAGGTTGGAGGAAGATAAGTGCTGCTTTTCTGCATTATCATCTGTACTATTCTGCAGCATCACCAGTGTTAAGAACAGCTGAAGAGAATCCATCTTTGGAGTATTTCTATGGGGAAATTAAAGCCATAATTGGAGGTAGGGATGTGTACCTTTAAAATGCTGCTATTCACTATTTTAGGGCACTTTTCCAAATACGGGAGCCAGGATCATGCTGTTTACTGGAGGTCCCCCTACCCAAGGGCCTGGCATGGTGGTTGGAGATGAATTAAAAATTCCTATTCGTTCCTGGCATGATATTGAGAAAGATAATGCACGTTTCATGAAAAAGGCAATTAAGGTAGGTACTCTTGGATACGGGCTGTTAATTGTGGTAGCTCAGAGACAGGGCTGCTCTGGAGTGGCAGCTACTTTGCTGAGGCCATGCATCATGGTCAGCAAAAAGTTCTTTCAGAGACAATCTTCCACATCTCAGCTCCTGTTAAATTACTGCCTCTGCTTTTAGACTTTAGTTAGAGTGGGTGGCCTTAAATTGCCCAGAGAGTTTTGAGATTGAAAACTATGTTTTTATTTTATTTGGGTATTGTAAAGGAAATGATTTCTATATTCCTATATTTGATTACATCCTTTGGTATAGTTAAGCATCTCTTGGGAATAATGTTACTGTTTCCTAAAGGTAGTTTTCCTCTTTTCACAGCACTATGAGATGCTTGCTAATCGAACTGCTACAAATGGTCACTGCATTGATATTTATGCTTGTGCCCTTGACCAAACTGGACTTTTGGAGATGAAGTGTTGTGCAAATCTTACTGGGTATGTTGACAGCGAACACATGGGAAAAATGAGTGTTATTTTAAGGAAAGAGAAATGAGTGATGGAGCCATAGGAATGGGTGAGGCCACCTTAGAGAAGCTTTTAGGTATCTCTGAGCTATGTTTTCAATGGCTGGGGATAGGGGTGTGGACTCCTTGGAGGAAGATGCAGTGATTAGCAGGAGGTCCCGGGGGTTCACTACAAATGAGTCATATCAGAGTAACTTCATTTCTTCCTTAGAGTTGTTGGACTTGTACTGAGACCAGGCCAGGAAAGCAGGCAAGCATGCAATATCTGGCCTTCGTCAGGTCACTTCCTTGTGAGAAGTGAAGAAAATAGGACCTGAATGCCGAAGCAATTAGGAGAGACCTGACATAACTAAGTGGCCATACTTTGTGACTAATATCGAGCACACACTCCGCCTAAAGGATGCACTGACTCAGAGCCTCAGTCAGTCTTGTACTCACAGGTCAAAGTGTAAAGCAGTGGTTCTCAATGTGTGCTGATGCCCAGACCAGCAACTTGAGGGGCTTCTGGAAAATGATTAGTATTGTACATCCTTGGGCCTTATCCAGACCTCCTGAATTAGAAACCCTGGGGATACAGCTCTCCAGGAGATTCTGGTGCATAGGAAAGAGTTAGAATTGCTGATGTGAAGCAGTGGGCTGAAGCTGGCTACACATTGGAATCACCTGGGGAACTTTAAAAACTATTCTTTCTTTGGGTCTTTTCCCAGAGATTCTGATTTAATTAGCATAGGATGTGGCCTGGGCATCAGCATTTTAAAAAGTTTTCCCAATGATTCTAACATGGAGTAGAGTTTAAGAACCATGCACCATCAGCCTCACCTGAGAGATTGTTAGAAATGCAGCATCTTGAGCCTCACTCTAGACCTACTGAATCAGAACAAAATCTGCATTTGAACAAGATCTCAGGTGATCTGCGTGCACAAATGTTTGAGAATCACTTGTGTAGAGCCATAGGGTTAGCCTGAGGCTCTGCACTTCTGACAAGCTTCCTGCTCATGCTGCTGGTCCTCATTGAATAAAAGGGTTAGGAGGTGGAACCCAAGTCATTTGATGCTGTCCTAGAGAGCAGTATATATGTTAGGTGATAACATTAGGGTCTTGGGTAACACTGATATAGCTGTATCAGTGAGCCACATCTAATAAGATGAACTCCTACCAGGGCCCTTCAGGAGTTCTTTACTTGGAGCACCCGTAGAAAAGCTTCAGTGTATTTGTACACATCCCTGAGTTTGTATGCCGGTGTGTATGTGTGTGTGAGTGTGTGTGTGTTTTTTCTGTGGGAGAGGTACAGTTGCTTCCTTCAGATTCTTACTGAAGTTTCTGACTCCTGAAAGACTTAGCATTTAGATCAAATCACCTGTTGTATAAATAAGTTAGTAGTGACACTTAAAAAAAAGGATTTAGTGATTTTGGAAGATAGGTCAAGGTGAGCCAACAATTTGGGATGACTTCCAGCAAAGGCAGGTCATTCCAGGCTGCATTATAGGAGTAGATTATTGTCAAGGAAGATCATAGTCTTGTTTCCTTAGTGTCAGTCACACCTTATCCAGATTATGTTGTTTTCCATTCTGAGCATTTCAGTTTCAAAGGGCAGTGTAGATGCACTGGATATGTTCAAAGGGGAGCAGAGAGAATGGTGGAGAGTATGTGGAACTGTGTCACATGAGGAATGATTAAAGGAGCTAGAGCAGATTAAGCTGAAAATAAATTGGAGCATGAGAACTACATCCATCAGCTGAAGGACTTTCCCATGGAGAAGGAATCAGATTAGCTCTATATGTGACTAAAGTGTAGACCTAGAACCAGTGTGTGAAAGCCACTGGAAAACAGAATTTCAGTCAGCATAAAGACAGACAAACAGGGAATGGACAGCTTCTGGAGGAAGTGAGCTCCCCAATGTTGGAGGAGTTCAAGCCTAACCTGGATGATAACTTGGCAGGTACATTATAGAGGGATCGATGTGAGTTATGATTAGATTTGTGTGAATGTGACAGAAAACCCAAAACAAGTTTATTTCTCTCTCCATGGAGGTAGGCAGCCCAGGGCAGGTATGTTGGTTTCATTGTCATCAGGGGCTAAAGTCCTACTGAGCTGCCCGTCACCCTTAATATGCAATGTATGGCTCAAGAGTGTTGTTGAAGCTCTAGCCAACTACAGAAGCAGAAAGGAGGCGAGGTTAAAGAAGGATGTGCCCCTTTTGAGAACACACTCCACATCTCATAAAGGACACTCCAGCAGGCAGACCGGAGTTACATGGCCACATGCAAAGCAGGCTGGGAAACATCTTTATTCCAGGCACCTATAGAATACATGACCAAGGAAAGGGGGAGGGTGGATGGATATTTGAAGTCAGATAGTTGACCCCCTCACTGGAGAGTTCAGACACTCTGAGATAGCTGGACCATATGATCTTTCTTGTGTTCTTCCCAATTCTGAGATCTTGTTTTATGAATAATGGCTGGATGCATAACATGCATCAAGTTGTGCTTCTCTGCCCCAAATACATGAAATGCTGAAATTTTAAACAATATTTTCATCTAACTTCAAACAGCCTCAGCCGATTGTCACCCCAGAAGCCACAGTGTGCTCTCTGTCCAGAATATACTTGTCAGATGGAGGGACCATCTGAGAATAAGACCATTGCTGTTACAGGGATTGTATAAACATGCTGTTTTGTTTTTTCCTACTGGGTGTTACATGTGTGGTGTCTTATGGATTTGTTTCAATGTATTGGAAACTTTCCATTTTATTCAAGAAATCTATTCCATATTGAAAGCCTTGATTAAAGAGGAAGTTTTTATAATCTAAAAAAAGGGATGAATATCAATATTCATGAATTAGAAAAGATAATTCTTGTAAAGTCAAGGATTTGAGGCAATGAATTCACCTGAAAAGGATTTCCCACAGGCCTGGATATTTTCCCACACCAAAGAAGTGTGAGAGGAATTGGAGATATTCTTAAGGATTCTATGTTTAATGCTTTGGAAGTAACTTCTAAGTACAAACTGTATTTGCTATTTTCCATTTAACTCAGACAGTAACATCTTTATGGACCTAGTTTCTGTCTTTTTTTTTTTTTTTTCCTTTAAATTACTGCTTATAAATACTGACGGAGCATCTGAAAGGCTTTCAGTCATCCTAATGTTCACTTTCTGTTTTCTTTTTTCTTTCCTAGAGGCCACATGGTAATGGGAGATTCTTTCAACACTTCTCTCTTCAAGCAGACATTCCAAAGGATTTTTAGTAAAGATTTTAATGGAGATTTTCGACAAGAATCAGGTATGTGAATCTATTTTTTAAAAGTATGTGTTTCATTTTAATTGTAACTACACTAAAAATTAAGTGAGGTTGAATTTGTTGCTACGACTGGCAGTCAGCATTTCTGCTTGAACTCAAGGTTGATAGCTTTTGTTAAGCATAGTTTAGTAATTACATTGAACTTGTGATTTCTTTGTCAAACAGTCATTATTTGGTCTTGTCATTTACTGTGGAGACATAGAGTTTCTTTTTCTATAATTTTTCTGGTGGACAGTCTGTTACCCTAAGAAAACAGATCTGTTCATATTTACTTTAGTATCTAATTGATTGTGCATATTACGAATAATTTTCTGATCTTCTACTTAAGCAAGTATGAGTGTTAGCTTCTTTTTTTTATTTATTTAATTTTTTAGGAGCCAGCTTGAGCTTCTTTGATTTAAAATTTTACGAACTGGCCAGGCGTGGTGGCTCACGCTTAATCCTAGCACTCTGAATAAGGGACCAAAGGTGGGTGGATGTTTGAATCAGGAGTTCGAGACCAGTCTGAGCAAGAGTGAGACCTGTCAGTACTAAAGAAAGAATTAGCTGACAACTAAAATATATATTAAAAATTAGCTGGGCTGGTAGCCATGCTGTGTCCCAACTCTTGGGAGCTGAGGTGAGTTCTTCTCAGTGTGTGGTTGCTGTGAGATAGGCGGATGCCATGTAGCCTTGAAAAAATAGTCGTGTGTTCAAAAAAGAAAAAAAAGTACAAAATAGAAGAAGCTCGAGATGACAAGAAAGATTTCTTTAAAAGTTGCCATGATAGAATGTTCTAAAACTGGATTGGGGTGTACTATTGCACACCTCTGCCACACTTATCTAAAAATTATTGAGTTGTAACTTAAATTGGTAAATTTTATGGTATGTAAACTATATTCAATAAAACTATTAGGAAAAATTGAGTTGTGCCACATGTATACACTAGTATAATAGATCTTAAGTTGTTAATAACATGCATTTTATATGTTCATATGTTTGTATAATTACAGTTAATCTCATACTTGATATGGCACATAATGAATAGAGTCCAGTGGCAAAGAGAAACAATGTACAGTTGGTGACTGGCCTAGTTCAAAACTGTAAGCAGATTCCATTTAAGATTTACCTCATGAGAGATTCATATATATATAAGTCTTTAAAACGTTATGCATTTTTTCCTTTCATTCAGAATTGATGTCTATGTATTATATAATTATCATGAAATTCTAAGCTATGTAGCGTGGGTATTAGAGTCAGGACTTGTAGTTAGGCACCTGGGTTTGACTCTCAGATCTACCACTTCTTCCTGTGTAACTTTGCACAAGTCTTTAACAACTCCTGTGCCTCAGTGTCCTTGTCTTTAAAATTAGGAATAATAGTACTATACCTACTTCATAGATTGTTCTGTGGATATTAAACTGATATTTAATGAGTGTAAAGGATTTAGAACAGAATTTTACACATAGTAAATGCCATATAAGTATTTTTTTATTAGTTTACTTAGATTTCTACCTGCCAGTTGATAAATATGATCTGAAAATCTGTCATGGGCAGAAATAATGTTTTGTAACTCTCCAGGTGGACATGGAGAAAAGAGCCCCTAAATGAGGTAGCTAGAAGACAAGGATGGCCCCTGGAGGAATCTGGGTGTTTGACCTCTTTCCTCCTTCTGTGCACCGAGTAGCTGGGGGTGGAACAGGTCTCTCTAGGTTGCCAGTGTGTCTGGGTGTCTGGTCTCACCTGTCTTGTGTTTCTCCATGTTTTTGTAGTCATAAAGTTTTACTCTGCTGGGAGCTGCAGCCAGTGGGCAGTCATGGCCAGGATAGGGCTAGAGGT